CCAAGTGCCCGGATTATAGTGTAAACCCTTCTCCTCATACTACCATAAAGGCGTCTAATGCGATCTTGAGGTACAGTTTGCCGTTCTTGGTGCAGAGCTTGTTCCAGTTGTCGCAAGTTGACTGTTGGTGGTTCGTACTATTGCCCAAATAAAATTTAAAATTTCAGTTGTAATCATGCCAAAACTGAGGCATATAATGCCGGTCCGGGAACGTGTCGGTTACACACGTTATTAAAAATTTGGCACATAATGTCATACTAGGTAACGTAATTGTCAACATTTTCCAAGAATATCCACCAGCCAGTTAATGTTATGTAAACGCCCCAACACCATAGTTATAAACAGTATCAGTTTTGGTAAAAACAACGCATATGCTTATGCTTCAATAATTTAGTGAAGAGTAAACTAAACCCATACATTTACTGGTTTATGATTACTTAATTGGAATCGCTACTTATCACATTACTATTTCTTAGCTCAATCAAGTCGTTATCTCATGACAGTGCTTTCAATCACAACCAATTTTAAATTTTCGGGGTGTGCTTAACTTATTTCCAGGTGTATGTTTCATTATTTTTGTTGAATACAGGAATCGAGGATAACAAATAAGTATGGTTTTGTTAATTTTAATATAAGCTATTTTATGTACGAATAAACGAGATGACCTTTAGTTACCCGCACTCACTGTCTGTTTATAGTCTGCTCGTTGATTGGCTCATTTTTTTGTGGGGTTTACTTATTTTGACGATAGCGAAAAAGTCAACGATAGGAAAGACATTGTTTAAATGCTCGTACACGGTTTTTTTTCGTGGGGTTTAATATTCTGACTATAGGGAACATGTTTTTTACTGTTGGTTACATTGGATTATTTTAACGGCAATCTGATGTAAAAACTTATGTTTAGATGATGTTATGTCCCGCGTCTCGTGGATTTTAAAAGAATTCAACGCTGACTGAGGTTATAGCAGCGTTGTTTCGTTACCCATAGCTTTATTCTATAACTTTATTGATTAATAAAAGAATTTATACACATACAATATCATAAGATATTAGGTTTATAATATGTAAATTATATCAATTTTGTATAAAAATTGCAGACTACTTATTGTAATAATTGTAAACGGCGAAATGAATATATTAACATTTTAATGTTGTATACACAATTTGATATATTACTCTAAATCTATAATTAAAGGGAGGTAATAGCATTTAATGATATGAATTTTTATTACACTACCGAAACATACAGACCTAGTCAATTTCACTTTTATTGTAAATACAGATTTTTTTTTATCAAATTGTAGAAAAATTGTTTGGTTAATGCACAGAGAAATTACTGAACATATTAATAGCATAAGACGTAATTTATGGTAAAATATATGTTTGTACTTTAATATTTAAACATATCCTAAATTTTCCCTATTTAACTCATTAAAAAATTGTGGATGAAAAAAGGGCATGAACTCCACAATAATTATATAACTTTAAAACGAGAAATTTTTGCTAGTCTGGAGTTCCTTCCCCTTTTACTACTTCCGACATCAAGCTTTTATAAGTTAGTATGGAATAGTGATGTTTTCAACTCTGCTAAGTGTTTAAATTATAAAACATATAAAAATCAATTTATATTAGAAACATTATTTACTATGTTTACCAAGAAATTTAGCAATTACTCTTTGTAAATTTAGATGTCTCAATTCTGATATTTCTACAGAGAAAGGTCGCTATTGAAAATAGAACATGCTCACTTTGTAATCAGAAAGAAATAGGTGATAAATTTCACTATATTTTTAAAATGTAGTTATTTTACTCATGAATATGGTGGCTGATTTGTGACATTCATGTTTTCGCCCCGCAACCCCGCCAAGCAAAAAGTCGAGAATCAACAAGTTAAAATGGCGGGGGCGCGTACCGAAAACACGCTAATTAAGTAAAATAAGTAAATCTTCGCCCCGCGGGCGCGCGGGGCGAGATTTCAGAAATAAAACGGCAGGGCGTGGAGCGGCGAAAAGACGCTAATGAGCGCCAGCGTGTTTTCGCTCCGCGCTCCGCCATTTTAACTTGTTAATTCTCGACTGTTTGCTTGGCGGGTTCGCGGGACGAAAACACGCTCATTAGCGAAGGTGCGCTGCGAAGTTTTATTTATTAACTTCGCCCCGCGGCCCCGCTAGGTATCGTGTTTTCGTCCTGCGACTTCGCCGTTTTGTTTCTTAAATCTCGTTCCACACTCCCGCGGGTCGAAGTTTTATTCATTTAAATTCGCCCCGCGCCCTCGGACGAAAACACGAATGGCACAAATCAGCCATCATATGGTACGCTATGTTTCAGTACTATTAATAGTAAATTTAACTGTAAAAGCTATGAAAGGATACAGAAGTTACCGTCTGTTCCTTAAAGGCACTATATTAGTAAGCAACTATACTATATTAGTAAGCAACAGTAAAAGACATGTTCCTTGCCGTCACAATATTAAACTCAAGGGAAAAAAACAATTTACGAACATTTGAATTTCCTTTTATCGTTTTCTATTTTCCAGTCGTCAAAATAAGTAAACCCCACAAAAAATGAGACAATCAACGAGCATGCTATAAACAGGCAATGAGTGCGGGTAACTTACGGTTATCCATAAAATAACATATATTAAAATTAACAAAATCTTACTTATTTACAGATTTTATTCTTCACAACAGCAGGTGTCAAGTGCTGTGTGGCAGCTGTAAAAAGTTGCCCCGTACTTCACTTCAGTGTTGTTATATTTTTCTGGTCCTTCGGGGTCATTGATGCCAGCACTATTAAGTGTTAAGAATTGAGTATAGCTCAAGCCGGTGCTAGGGGGCGTGTGGGATGGTGCACTTCTTAATTATCCCTCATGTACAGACTCAATCAAACAGAGTCTGCAATTCTCTTGTAATTTTGTTGTGATTAATGCTTCCGAGGGATCACTTTGTTTCCAGATTGTTATCCTCGATTCATTGAGGACTATCAAACACTACTATTACACGATGTATAAGAGTTATCTACAACGTTAAGTTACCCATAACAACCATATTGACAATTTCCATAAATAATATTGTTCCTATATACAAATTAAATAAAATTATTTCAGAGAACTTTTTGATTTTATCATTTGTGTGGATGTTGGCGGCCTGGCGGCCAAAAATTTAAAAAATGTAGAAATGTTATATAAACAATAAAACGGAATTAAATGAATCCATGTTATTTAAAGGATATATAAAAAGAAAACATCGCTTTGAGGAAACTTTTTTATTTTATCATTTTTGTGAAGTTGGCGGCCAGGCGGCCTAAAATTTTAATGTTGTAAAAGTTTGGAAAAGAATGAAAAACAACTCTTCAAGTTCTGGTATGTTTCCGCCAATCGAAGTCTTAAAATATTCTGCCGATGCAATTTGCCAGCGACGAGCACGCTTCGAGGGGTAGTGAGAAGCTGTTTAGTTAGCCAATGTAGTTGTAGTAACATGTATATGATTATCAAATCAAATCGATTCCAATTTATTTATATAAAAACATATCACAAAAACATAACCTATGTATATCTTTTGACCGAAATTCATTTCACATTATATTTAAGCACCATAAAAACGCCTGATAACCACTTTTAGATTATTAGTGTTTGTATTATTTATTTGAACATTAGTTACGGCAATTTTTATGAAACTACATTAAATAACAATTGTTTATTGAAAATATTAATTCCTTTGCATTATTTTCACTAGACCGCAAGTCTGTCAGATACTAAGCTCATCACTATCAAAATGCATAAAACTGGTAAAAGTACATAAATTATGCCATTCTATACAGAACTATATGAGACGTGTAAGCAAAGCTTACATACGTAAATAAAATAAAAATCATATTTACATAAATAATTATATACAATACACATATTACAATGTATTACTTTATGTGTTTTGGGAATACCTTAATTTTTGCCATTCATATTTCTACTAATATGTCTAAAAGTCTATGAATAAAGCAAATTAATGGTGGGTTTGAGATAAGGTTTGGTGTGAAATTAGGTAATTAAATACGTGTGAGGACTTTATTTTATTCAAAAAAAATTATACATATCATGACGAAAGACAGTTATCTCTTTCTTTCTTCTCCTTTCTGCCAATTTGCCAAATATTTTGACACCATGGTCATACTTAAATAATACACAAGATATGTTAAGATACATTCATAAATCAAAGCGCATCTAAAGTGTATATTCGCTGTGCTTCTATTCTATTCGCTAAATCGGTAATAGTAAAAAGGGAAAATACATGTTTGATGTTCATCTATGTATTCATTTCTCTATTTCAGTTCTCGGTTGCATTTGTTTCCAGGTTATTCGAATATATTCATATTACTTTCTATTTGTTCTTGAATTATATACTACATGTATATCACTTTCGGTGAATTATAGATAACCTCGGTATGGGGGTATATTCCTTAATTTATATGTAAAATAATGTATATAAACAGAGTTGTAGATGACACTACTAAAACCGCTATGATAATGTGAGAGTGACGTTGCAATGTTTGTGTACACAAACCTTTACAATCTTTGTCTGAATAGGTAAAATAGCTTTTTTAAGAAGAGAATATAATAAGAAGTACAATTTGGAACGTCTGCATGGCAAAATTGGTAAAGTCGTTGGTATGCGTCTTAAAATCTTATCACAAGTTCTAGCCTCATTTTTCTTCTTTTCTTTTCCAATTTTTTTCCCAATTTTATGATAGATGCCAATGAATTGGGCATATACATAGGGCCTGTTAAAAATTGAGCATTACTGTTACGTAAGTAAAAAATAGATGGTAATGAAAATTTTGAACGGAACTTGTACTAACTGTGGAGGGTAGTGATGGAAATTTCTGGGGGATAATGCTGTTTCTTTTATTTGGAGGTCAATATAAATATTTATTTATTATATATTTATATTTATATAGAAGAGTTCATGAATGCAGGAGCACTTTTGGCACGAATCTCCATGTGCCCATCTAATGCGAGTTTTGTGGTTATGTTGAATTTTTCAAGTGTTGTATATCTTACATTTGTCGCATCTATTTTTTTCTGTTATATATATGATCCACATTTATATCTATGACGAAGCAAGAGTATACTCAGCCAATACTTTAGTAACATAAAGCTTACGGTGTCAGTGGTCAATGGATACAGCATTGGACTCCTAAACAATTGGTCACATATTCTAATTATGGAAAAGTAATTGGGTTACGACACCCATCTCCCGCTCCGTGTCTTCTTTCGGCTTGAGCAATGTTTGGTAACCGTGAATTGTTTTATATAAGCACAAAATAGTTTCTCAAAAACCGATGTAAAACCGAAGTTTGAACAAACATTAATTAAAGGATGGTGTTCGGGCCAAAACATCTTTGCCTAAATGAGCGGTATGACCCAAATTCAAACACGTATAGGGACATACTAGTTAGTACATATATCTAAAATAGTGTATGCATTTCATACTAGTGTATAAAGCTTTAGGCCTACATTTCCGGATTACAAAATTATTGTTTATCTAATTATTTAAATAGTTACAGAATACTAGTACATAAAATGAACGTAATTTGCATTTTTCTTAAAGAAATAAGTGAAACATGCCCTAAATAAACGCTAAACAAGGGAAATATTTTCTTCCAGAAAGTATTCTTCTGATTTCCACGATGTCCCATTAGAGCCATAGTGACAAACACATAACGCGAAACAACGTTAAAACGAATTTATGATAGTTAAATGTCGAAAAATAAACAAACAACAAATCAAAAAAAAAAAACACGATGGTGAAAACTCGGTATAATATAGTATCATCGTCATCGTACTTTCGACCTCTCACCATAGTGATTCCGTTGTTTTGTGGTCTCGGATTATTCATTTAGTGCTAAGTTTCTTGCTCAAGAAAATAATGGCTTGACCCTGACGGGGTTTAAATAGATGACTAGTCCGAAGCGCCAACCACATGACTAGTCCGAAGCGCCAACCACTCACCATACTAATACTTTTATTTATTATAAATATACCGGTACATGCATAATAAGTATTATAATATTAAATTTATAATGTGAATTCTGAACGGATAGATCATTTATTGAAGACAATAAAAAATAGACTGAAAATGAAGAAAAGAAAATTCAGTAATATAAAGATGAATTGAAGCACTTATTATTACTTATTTTTAAGTTTCCTGTCAATACACGTTGTAAAGGGTATTCATAGTGTATTTTTGCACAGCTATTTCAAGGTTTTTTTCTAAATTAAATTAAAAAATAAATTAAAAAAATAAATTAAAAAAATAAATATCAAGTAATAAAAAAAAAAAAAATAATAATAATAAAAATAAATAAAATAATAATAATAAAATGGACGGTAATGTTTGAAAATCAAAGTAAATAAAAGATTATTATAAAAATTATTTATGCAAAGTATGTAAGTACAAAAGTAGAACTTAAATAAAATGTCAATTAATATTATAAAAAAATACTTTGCAACGAGTGTTTCCGGTAAGTACTTTTGATAGCTCGGAAAAACGTCAGTTTGCATCGTATTCAAAAAGCACATATTTAGTATTGCTTATATTCATTCATAACATCTCAGATTATTGTTACCATATTTTCATGGCAGAGACCCTTAAACTACCATGAGCTCATTATAAAACAGGTATGGACTATTGAATATGTTGTGATATGTACTGCAATCTGGTAAAAATAAGCTCCTTCATAACCCTTCACACAAAGATCTGACGATCACCGGTAGGTTGTAACCTTCTCGTGACTTTCACAATACTGAAAGCGATGCGTTTGTTAATTTTAACCGCTTGAAAACCAATAGTCACGATTTCGAGAGAACAAACACGGCGTTTTCCATATAACCTGCAACAATCTTGCCCATTAAAAAATGAATCTATTATTTCAATTTTACTTGTTTCAAATCACTTCAAACATTTTTTTCCGAACACAAATCAATGATTTCTTTTACTTCCACGGGCAACGATATTTTGATACTTCTTCTAATGAACCGGTTCCATTGCATGGCTAAAAATATATTTTACGGGGAAAGCCGAATCATAATGAGAGCGAAACCTATACGGTGGCAATCAGATCTACGTGTAAGAAATAAGTAAATCTGAACTTTTGTCAGATTGATATGTACTGATAAGAAAATTCATTGCGTCGATATCACATCATAACCACCAGCTAAATATTGAATATGAGTAGATAATATTTCACATTCTTAAAATTGTGTCCTTTGACAATCATTTACTAAGGTCCTTCTGAAACGCTATGCCTTAATTTGCTTTACTACGTCCGTTTTGTTGATGTGACTGGACTGCTTCTCTTTACGAGTACGTATTTTCCTAAAAATATAAATTATTTACATAAACAAAAAGGCCTAATTGTTTGAATGTATTAGCACTGAAACATTTAAAAACGGAAATATAAGCCTTATCTTTTTTCTTTCATTACATATCTAAATTACATATTATAATTACGAATGTATTATTTGAATACAAGTATCAGAAAAGGCCGTTCATTACTTCTAATTCGAATTCACTAATCTCCAAAATGAACAGATTATTTTATTTCACATTTTATAATAAATGTAACCAATATCAACATCATAACACTCCATGTAATCTCCTTTACATTTTCAGAGTCCAAAAATCTATATCAAATTACTATTGTACTCCATCTAGTCTTGTTGTCATTTAAGGGGTCCAATGAGTCATATCAAATACATATTGTACTCGAAGTTCACTCCAAATTTCTAAAATGGTGGTGTGAAAAAGCGGCCATTTTACAATGCTGAGTACAATACTGATTATATTGGACGTGTACTAATCTGCATTCGAAACCACTATCAAAACAAGCTAGCGCCACGTACAATATAGGTTTGACAGCTGTATACAGTAGAATCAAGTTTTGTATAATAATGTTTTAATGTCTCAACAGTTCATCGAATTAACGAGAACCTTATAAGTTAAAATAATACATTTTAAAGATTACCTTCGAACGTAAAAGACAAGAATTATCGCCATAACAAGTGCCGTTGTAGAGAATGTCCCAACTATAGATCCAACAATTTTTAAAAGTCTTTCCTTGTTGGTTATATCACACACATACACATCAGTTGGTTTTGGTTTATACTTGGTTTTCTTTTTGGTAGTTGAAAACGTAAGTGGTGGTGTAAATGGTTTATGCTTGGTGTATTGGGGAGAAACTGAAATCGTTTTCAAACTTTAAGTTAAAAAATTAGGTCGAAAATTAATATTAAATTCGCTGTTGATGCGTCTAGCATAGCAGAGTCTGGATTTGAGATTTATATCTTATTTGAAGTAATATCTTTTTTGATATCACACCAGGTCAATTTTATACTCAGTAAACATTAAACAGGAGCAAACAAATACTATATATAAGGAAATATATATGAACATAGTATCAAAACTTAAAGCGCATTCGAATGCCGCCATCTTTACAGAGTTGGTATGAAAGATGATAAAAAGTATAAAGTAAAAAACAAATTTAACAATACATTGTATATCTAAGACTTCATTTGATTTTACTGGTGACATATATGCTCAATGGACCGGGTGTCTTTTCTTGTCCTTATATTCAAAATTATTTGATTAAGTTGTGTTCTTTTCTTTTCTTGCAAAATATTATGATTTGTAATGTCAAAGTAAACAAAAAAAATTTATAAATTGAATTTTCTCATTTAAAAGAAACGTTTAAAAATCAGTCCAGAAAAATCCTGTCAATGTCTGCCTGGTTTTCAGTCTGACCAAACTCATTAACGAGACCAACCCGCTATTAAGGCCAGGTCTGCAAAGTCCCTTCAGCGGTCTCATTAGCGAGTGTTTACTGTAATTTTTGGAAACACAATACATCGTGAAATGTTTGCCAAAATATTTCGTAATAGTACGATGGTCGAAAAAAAAAACAATTAACAATTTAAACGGCTGTAAAGGAGCGACGCAATATATAAATAGACGCTCTTGACTACAATGTATGCGAAATAGACTATCAGAAATTTTTCAAATTAAGGCATCCGCAATGAATAAGAAAAAGTTAGCAGAGACAAAAGTTTAGTCGTATGTGTAAGAGAATGTTAACAAGAGATTCATAATAATGTATTACAATAAATAAATAAATAATAATAAAAAAATAGAAAAAAAAACAGAATCATTAGATTTCGAAACCGATATGATGCCAAAGAACGGTATGTTATTTCTTAGATAAGCACATATATAGTGTGGCCCTTATTCAACCTGAAGTATTTTTTTATTTCTTTCTTAAATCAAATTTAGTAATGATTTCATTCATCTTTCGCTTTAGTGCATTTTGTGTCATTGTTCTGTGTGCTTTAAGTATCTTCATTTAGTATATTTGCAATAAGATTTGAAGATGACTCTTTGGAATTAATTTCACTCCCTGGTGAAACTTTGTTGTCAGTATGACAATGAACATGTTGTTTTGATTTTACTTTGTTTTTGTCTACAGTCTTAAAGCACCACTTTCTCTTTTTGTACCCAAGTGCCACCCCACCCGCACCTAAACAGCAACAACACCCAGATACACCACCAATTACGCCGTAAATAATTTTCAAATGCTCAGGACTTGTTCCACTCTTTTTCGACTTTTGGCCTGTTTATGTTTGAAAGATAAAACAAAACAAAATTGAGGATAATGTCAAATTTCCCAGACAAATGTGCGTAAGAACTGATGAAATAAAAATGTTGTCTGAAAGTTATATATGTGTTTGCTGTTATATCAATCGGAAGTTCTTTGCCCAGAGTGGCTTAAATAAAACAATCTGTAACCTGCTTTGCTTTTTCATAATATTTGATTAGTTTTGTTGAATACACGAATTGATTATAACGACTTAAAAAAGATTTCAACTTTTTATGTCTCCTTTATTTGTGATAAAAGTATCGCTTGGATTTTGAAAGGAATACTTCTAAAATGCCCGTATGAAAGAATTATGGTAGTATACATTAAGAGGGAAAGGCATGTTTGAAACCATTGCTCAACGGTCAAAACCATCCTTAATTTAAATAGCAACATACTATTTTTTCCGGATTACGTACACTATTCACGTGCGCTTAGTAATTACGTAGACATTCTTTCGAGAATCGAACATAAGATTATGGAAACAAAGTAATTTTAATTCTAACAAATTTTATAAAAATATTTCATAAGATATTGCTGTATAACTTTTAAAGGGACTCCACTGAATTTTCAAGTATTCCCTTAACCCATTTTTTTCCAGAATAATCATTATAATGTGAAAAAATAACACAAAAACGAAAAAGAGCTGCAACCTTTATCACTCAAGTTAGGCTATAAGTTGAACTAACTTTCGAGTTTCCATTTAATTCTGTGTATATTTCTTTATTATTCTTTGCAAGCTTTTCAAGTTTAAGTGCTTAACTTTATCTATTTAAAATTTAAAATTTTATGTTTTTAGGCTTTTTGACCTCAGTGGAGCCCTTTTAATAAAATTGCGTAATTTTAATGCGACATTTGTCTGTTCTTCTTTTATGAAAAAAAAATCGTTATTAACATTTTGGAAATCGTATTATTTAGAGATTACCTGGCTTACGTGGTTTTGTACAGCCTACACCAGTGCCATACAATATCAATTTCCATCCAATCAGCGTTCCTGCAAATTATAAATTCATTTTGACGTTGTAAGAAAAACATGAACATACATTTTATTAGAAACATAATTTATTCTGTGTACTGGGTATCCGTGTGTAAGTGATTAATGTAGATGAGTTCAAATCAATGCCGCTATACCTTTTGTTGGTTTGTATTTAGTCGTGAACTTTACGTTCTCAAACGTACTTTGGAAGGTTAGCTATCCTTCTTTTGTGACATCTCATGCCCAGCATTAAGCACGGAGCACTGAAGGGTAAACTGTGGTTAACCTCTACCAGTAAAATCCATTTATTGACCTTCATATTGTCGTTGTGACATAAGAACATTCCAACATAAAATGATGTTTGTACGACTGTTCATCTTAGCTAATAGAACTTGTACTGGTAGAATTTGATTTTCTTGTGTGTTAATTCTAATACATGTATATATATATAGTCTTTTATTTGTTTCACATGTAAATGTAAATGAAATATGTTTTAAACATAAGACTCATATTAAAAGTAACAGTAAGCTGTAAGTATTTCTTTGCAATGCACTATCTGCATCTCTAAGTATATTTCCTTATAATTAGACGAAATTACATTCACCTGCTGCATTTATATTTGAATTCATTGAGAAGATCAGCTTCCAAGAACCAATTGGATTTTCACCCCAGTGCTGTACAGACATGTATGTCCAGTCCTGAGTGCCGTCTGTTGCTGTGTCCCCATTTCTTGGCCTCAACAATCTGCTTTCTGTACCAGAGGGTGACTGTATTTTCAGTTCTACTGCGCCTCTTTGGGTGAAGTCAAATTTTACTTGAACCTCCACATGTTCTATACTGTTTACACATTTCCAAGTGTCGTTGCAACCGTCCATTATTACAATCTTTTCTATAATCCTTGATTTGTCTCCTTTGTTAATTTTGCTGTAATATTTTAAACAAAAAGAGTGATTTTTAGTCATATTTAGGTTATCTAGAATTTGCAATGATGATAAAACAGGAATAATTTGTCAGAGTTTTTTTCATGTTTAAAGAAATAACATCACCATAAAATAGTGAATATATCATAACGTACATTATTTGCTCGCGTTAAATGCCTTTTGCCTTATCATAAAATATAATACAGTTTGTATATTCTCACATGCAATCATGACGCGTATTACATCAACACGGCTACATTTAAATGTTGCAGGTTCGGTTTTATTGGGCCTGTTTATGGACGCAAAGTACTGTCCACTAGGCCCCCACCACCATCGACTCACGAAGGATAAGATATAAAATGGTGATAAATTTAGAATTTTGCAACACCTGCATTCATGTGCATACGACTGTGATCATGTAAAAGGTAAAGATATACATTGATATGGTAAAGACAAAAGTTTAAATTTGAATATAATTCCCAGCAACACGCTTCATATAAATCACCAGGAAATACAATACAGATACAATTTTAATCAGCATATATTTATGAAACAGTAAATAATGAAAAATGATAACAAAGGTCAACATGGCCAAGGCACCGTTCCCAGAACGCAGCCCCCAACACAATCCAGCTGTGACACTCCAGCTTTCCGCAATATTCAGGTTTAATTAGGTATATGCATGTATAAATTTGCAACATATTTGCTTGATATACTTACCTGTTCACCGTTTCAAAGGGTCTGTCGCACATATTCTGTTTTGGCAAACTTGTCCAATTTCGAGCTGTCTTGATAAGATTATTTGCATCTAAAAGCCCATACCCAAACCAATCACTGACTAGAAAAACAAATTGTAAATATCTTAACAGTTCACAATACATAAAAACATACATTAAACTTGAACTCGCTTAATAATTACTTTTGAACAACTAGTCAAAGTGTTGTAGGAGATTTTTACTCATTGTTTAATGTGATACTGAATTCTGTTGGACAAGTATTCAACTGTCAAAACAATATTTGAAGAGGCTCTAGCAACATGTCATTAACATGTTTGTATACATTTTGTTGTATGCAATGCAAATTACCGCATTCAAAACAAATCCTTAAATTTCAGATACATTTATATGCACACACAAAATAGTCGGTTTTACAAATAAACTTTAAACAATATATTTAAGATACAACCTTTTCTTCCCAGAGCGTTTGTCTTGAATTCTCCGTATTTTAAGCTACCAGTCTTTGATGTTCTTACAATAAGTTCTTGTATATCACGCCAGTGTAGATCTGGTCTGAAATAGTAGATTATTTCTTTACATATTTCCTGACAAAGAATAAATAAAAAATGAAAATAAAAAAATATTGTATTGTTTAATAGGGTAATAAATTGATAAAGATCCCTACATGTTACATTATGATTACCTCTCACTATTTTTATGATGTTTATTTCCCACTGGCCAGTGGAAGTTATTCTTACTGATAATTCAAGTATACCATGTGACTAAAAATGTTGTACGAAGGTAACAGTTCTTTTTCACACAAAATATCTAAAAGATAAAAACCTAAAGAGTCCCAATGAAGTATTTGCTCGGGAAAATAACATAAATTACATATGTTTGTGGGCAACAGCATAAATATCATCCGCTCGTAAAAATAGTGATACGCTCTGTTAAGACCTCGGGTAACAGTATTTTCCTCGAAGGGAGGGGGGTATTTTTACCGTTTTTAATTTTAATCTTGTACGTTTAACATTAAATATCGGAATAAAGATGAAAAAGGGACAGCAACAATCACTAAACGAATCCATCGCAACATCAAAAAGCAACGGTGCCATTGCCAAAAGTTGAAAAGTAATGATAAATGGCACTATAAATTAAAAACGAAGTTATCAACAATAATAAAGATAACAAACTTTGCTTGTAAAACTAGTGCAAGAAGTCCAGATGCCAATGGTGCTGAAGCTGAAGTTCCAGTGAAATCTGTTACACACCCTTGGTTGATATCAGTTGCACACTGTACAGAAATAATAAATTTATTGTCGAATAGAGGTTATAAGTGCATGAATCATACACACTGCTTTTCAAAATCGTACAGAAATATTATATGGTAATTGTTTAATAAAGTATGTTTTACAAATAGTTATATTCATGTAAAGTTTTAATTTAAAGAATGCATTGTCACTTTAGCGTGTTATACATCATATAAAAATCTTCTACAAAGTTAATTATGTTTGCAAGATATATTGCTATAATGAAATTATTGTTATATGTTATTGTGTATAAAATGTTCGACATAAAGTTTTGTATATGTACCGGTATGCCTCATGAATGTACTTTTAAGCATAATGGTTCTGAATGAAATAAAACTTTGAAACTTTATAAAAGTAAACATTCATATACCATATCGCTAAAAGAATTTCCAGAGTATGCGCTTGCAAGGATGGCAGTACAAGGTTCAGCATAACCGGGATAATCATTGTCAATGGTCACACTGTTTATTCCAATTGTGTAGATGCTGTTTACATATCCATCAGTGTTACAGTTATCATCAAAACCTCCATTGCCTCCAGCGAAAACATAAACTACTCCTTTACCAGAGCGACCCTTAAATCAAACACATACGCACAACTATATAAATTTGCCTATTCAAAAGAATCATCGCCATGGACGCAGGTAATTCGAACGAATAATGGTATTCACTGTGATGTCGATAATCATTTTCAGTTTACTTAAATCAATATTAATTGTTAAAGTGCAACATGTGTACTCATCAAGATACACATTAGTTAGTTTCAATATATGTTCAAAACAGTTGGTGGAGAAAATTTACATACTGTAATAGTAATCCGAACAAACTACGGTTTTCATATTGGAAATTGTTCATGGAAATTATCGAAATGGCCACAAATTTGACCACATACCTTGCTTTTATTTAAGTGTTAGCCCATAACTGTTGTTATTCCCTGATGATGCTAGAGCTTAGCATTAAAAAGCAAGATGAAAATAACGTATAGAAAAGTTACTTTACGAATCAATTAAAAATCTTTAGAAATGACCAATACTTACTTTTGTGACACCTACTTTAAGTGCTTCTTTTATTTGAGATGAAGGTTCATCAAAAGTTAAATCAACTCCACCCCAGCTGTTTGACGATATGTGCGCAAATTCATTGTCTAAACCTTCAATTTGACCAGATGGTAAAACTCCCCGAGGTCCGATCATTCTAATTGCTTTTAGTGAAATATAGATCTAAATATGTCATTACTCAGTAGAATTGAGATCAATACCATTGTATGATGAGGTGAAATAATAATAATGAAATAATTTATTACAATTTAAAGTCACATGCCTCCATATGAGACAAAATAGTTGCAAGAAATTTAAACTGGAGAAAACGTATTAAGACATTACGAAATCAAGATTCAATAAATAATGTAAATGTTATGTGCGATTAATGACATATTTTGCAGTTACTGTATTTGTCACCATTTTCTTCTGCCTGACTAAAACAGTAAATTTTTATTGCATATTTTGACCTCATTTTGGCGATTCTCGTTGATTGTAAGTGCTGTTTTCACTTTACAATATTTTACGTTAAGATACATTTTCAAAATTATCAAACATGATGCTTGATGCCTTAAACAGTTGAATTATAATGCACATTATACATCTCAAAGGGAAAGATTTACAATTTAAAATCGTAAAAGTTCAGCCATTGATAAAATAGGATCAATAAAATCTGTAATATTTTTTAAGTTTGCCGGTTTGGACGATTCTTAGGCATTCTTTATTTCTAGTCACAATACTTTAATTTTGCAACAATATCATCATCTAAAACTTACCTATAAGATTGGCTTCAGGTGCCACGCCAACCACGCAATCTTTGTTTGATGTTGCTAGTGCCATACCAGCACACTTTGTTCCATGGCTGAAGCTAAGATTTTATGTATTTTGCTAAAAGTATTTTTGTAAAGAAATTCTGACATCCCAACAAGTTTATGAGATTCTTTAGTTTTTATATGATATCGAACAACCATACAACAACAAAACAAAATGTATATAATCAATTGCCGGCAACTTGGTAAAACCACATATCTTAGGTCAAATATACTCGTAAGAATTTTTTTGTTACTTTACCTATCTATATGGATTCAGACCCCCAAACATTGAAAGTATATGATTCGAATAAAAAATTAAAATCGAAAACAACAACAATATCATTGTCAGTAAAATGAGATATTTGTTAACTCATTATGGTAAGTACGAGCACAGATGCAACCATAAATGTTGCCCAATGTCAGTAGAAATAAAATTCTTAAAAGTCTATGAACATATTGAAAAAGTAAAGACGTGGTAATGTTTAATGCATGTTACCGTTTACCTTGAAAGTTGAACGATTTAAATATAGGTATAAATAGACATAAGAATAGCTGAATTATACATGTATATATAACTATTAATTTCTGATAGTCAAAAATACTTCTTACAACACCATTAATTAAATTCAACATCTACATGTCCGAAATATTTTAAGCAATCAATTCACAATAATGAAGGATGTTAAACTAATGTTTCATTACTTTTTTCCTATTGGTGTTGGGTCACCGTCGTCATCGTAGACATCTTTACTATGGACACTATCCTGCCACATAAGAACATTACAATTAATTCAAATTCATAATGTGACAAATTTGGTTGGTTTGTTTTTTTGGCTTTACGAGGTATGATAAAAAAGTTCTCGGCCCGATATACTTCTAGCAACAACACTGCCATTAAGACACGATACGTCGATACCGATGTCTTAATGAAGATAACTGACCGAGTTGCACGAGGTTTTACACAGATTAAGTAACATAAAACACATTTTGATCAGTAGATTGGTGTGTTTTTAGACCAAATGGAGAAAGTTGAAATCAGACTCGTCATTAAGTACCTCTGTAAGAAAGGGATGTCCTCCAAGGAAATCCATGAGGACTTCATGAATACACTTTGGAAGGAGTCTCCTTCCTTTAGCACTGTGATTAAAAATGGGCTGGCGAATTTAAGAGGGGCAGGGAGAGCACTGGAGATAATGAGCGGCCTTGGCGGCCAAAAGAGGCCACCAACGATGAAACTGCCGAAGCTGTGCGCGATCAGGTCATGTCTAGAAGGCGAGATCTGCGAAGCTTTGCAAAGGTAGTAGAATAAGCTTTGGTCTAGTTCAGGCAATTCTGACTGATTTCTATGGCACGTCAATGGTTTCCGCTAGATGGGTCCCCAGACAAATGACTGAGGATAAGAAACGGACCAGGCTTGACATTTCAAGAAATTATTTGTCTCGCTACGAGGATGAACCTGATTTTATCTACCGGATCGTAACTCAGGATGAAACATGGGTCCATCACTTCGATCTAGAATCCAAAAAACAGAGCATGCAGTGGAAGCACTCTGGCTCATCCACTCTAAAGAAGTTCAAGAGGGTGCAATCATCAGGGAAGATAATGCTTTCATTTTCTGGATAGTCAGGGGATAGTCATTTCGACTGTCTTGAGCAAGGTCATACCTTAAACGGTACCTACTATGCAGACGAATTGAGAAGTCTGTGTGAAGAAATCGCGCGTAAAAGCGGGGCAAACTGAATCAAGGCGTTCTGCTTCTGCACGACAATGCGCCAGCTCACACATCCCAAGTTACGATGGCTGCTGCAACTGACTGCGGCTTTGAAATTCTTCCCCTCCCCACATATTCTCTGCACTTGAATGAATGAAGCTGTCAAGGAGGCGGTCAATGAGTTCTTTGAGGACCAAAATAGAGAGTTCTATTTTGAAGAGTTAAACAAGTTGGAACACAGGTGGGCAAAGAGCATTGGTGAAGAGGGCGATTATATTGAAAAACAAGACTATTAGTTGGGTTCTGTTACTACCGGAAGTACATCGGGCCAAGAACTTTTTGATCAATCCTCGTTCAACGCACCATAACAGTATGTTTAGGTTATAAGGAGCCGAATTTTGGCTAACCTCGGGTGTCAAAACTTCAAAGCATCACCAGAGTTCAAAACAATCTCACCTGTTGGAGCTAACAGATGCATATACTCCAATGTAAATGCGACAAATGATATACTTTTACAGCAAATTTTTGAAATCCATTTCTTTTAAAAAATTACATACCTTCATAAAATTTCAAAATATAAATTGCGCTCACTTTTACAAATAAAATTGTATTTTACGGTTCACATCATTACCTTCATTTAAGAGCATGGAAAGAAGGCATTATTCTCTTTGCATTTTATTTATTGGGAACTGTGTAACCATGTAAACCTTGGCAGTCGGTATTAAAATACCTTTTTTCTTCAAAAATCCAATCTCTTAAGCGAACCTTAAAAATTCTGATACGGGTATATGTCGACGATATTAAAATGATATTAATATAAACTTTGTTATAAATATCTGTTGGGTGTTTATTAAAGTGATATTATTATAATCTTTTTTTAATAAATAAGGTACAGATAAATTTAGTCCACGTGAGGTATTTCTTGTTCATGCAAAGTGCATTATAAAAGTGAACAAAATGATGGCAACTTTTAAAGTTATTTTAAATGTCATATGTTCACTCAATATATATCTTCGGATGGAATATCTCTAAGAGGGCTTACATAGCGATTTATGAGATCTATATGCTTATAGTCAACGCCGTCGTCTACTATGGAGATGGCCACACCTTTTCCTGTGTAGTTTGACTTCCAGGCTTGTAAAATCCCGAGGCTGACGTTTGTCATTTCGTTCTGGTAAACAAAATTGCTCTGTTAGTTCCAGTTTTTTAGATAGATGAACAGACAAGATATTCATTTAACATTTAGAAGGTAAATGGTCAAAAACAGTGTTTACTAAAGAAACTATCTAAAACAAATCAACAACAATAAAATATAGGCCAATGTCTTTTTTACAAATAAAAGTAAAATTAATCATCATGAACAAGATTTTGGCTGTCTAATGGATCAATTTATGATAGTTTACATTATTTGCTACGCTAATGAAATAATAATTATTATATAATAGTTTGATATTAGATGACAATGATTTAATATGTTGGTTTAACAAAATCTTCGACTAGTTGTTGTTCAATAATAAATGTAACAAACTATGAACGGCGATAGAAGGTTATCAACATATTTTGTAAAGCTTTATAAATAAATCTTAGATAACAAATGTTTTGATAATTTTGATGACACGATTTCATTTCTAGTTTCAATATAATTCTAAACAACTCACTATGTACCACATTTGTTTCCATTTCTCATCCTGTGGTGGCAGATTAATTGCTCTACGATTTACCTTCGTCCATTGTTCTTGTTTAACAAACGATATCTAAAATTTAACCAAATAACCACAATTTAAACCAAACATTAAACAAAAGAAAAAACAAAACAAAAAAAGATAAATAAATAAATAAAAAGTAACTTAATAAATAAATGGTACGCTTTGGCTCTAGAAAGGGGTTCATATTAGCCTCGCAAATCTGTCTTCACAATTGAGCTTCAATAACTAAGCTTAAAGTAAAACCCAACCATTAATGATGTAAAAAATTGTTTTTATCAAGGACAAACACTTATATTTTGTTGTTGCAATTTCATGAAATGAGTATATTTTCTTTTACTTATGATATTATTTTAAGTAAGAATGTGACAAGGAAGAGGAAATGTCATTTAATATGCAAAATATCAAAAACATGTATAGTATCTATCGTTAGTCATACCTTGCCATGTTCTTTAAGTAGTTTTGTATGAAAATCAGACCTATGCCTTGAATATTTGGAAACGTCATCTCTTGTTAAAACATAATGTTCTGTTCTAAGCTGAAATAGTACAAAAATAAATATATATATAAATACTGCTCTGTTACTCATATTTAAAACTCAAACTGTAAAACATGTACACAATTGTGGCTGTAAACATTTTTCAAACATTTTTAACCTTGTATTTTGAACATAGAAGCTCATATAACTAAAAGGCCCTTGCTCCAGTTCGGTACGTGATCATGTAATGTATGCTCATTAAAATTGGTTTAAGGTCCTTTGAAACTTCAAAAATGTTAATACTTCCATTTTCGCTGAGCCATTTTAAGTTTTTCCGTTTTTATTTTAATCCATTAAGTGATTAGGAATTAAAATTGTGTATGAAAGTCAAAATACTACTTAGATTACGTTAAGGGACAAATTATTTCACATTAAGTACTACTTACTTCCGGTGCTCACCATCTTATATGTTTTCATTTCCAATTCCTACTACTAGTATGCCTTTAAATGTGAATTAAATGACGTTTACTAACTTAAACATTGTATCATATTTATAATAAAAGTCAAGTCAGTTTTTTTCGCCGACTTATAAAATGCCAATATTTTAATGGAACGAAAACTCAAAGCTGTCACTATGAATACTTTAAATGATATTACCTTCTTAAGAACTTGAAAACCAAACCTTTCAGCTGTCCTGTGTATTTCTTCATAGGTTAAATCCCCCTTTATCAGCCATTTATTACTATAATTTGCACGGCAGATATTAATAGTTAAAACAATAAATACTATTTGTCTTAAAAACATAACTTCCTTTTTACTTTATTCACATTCACTTTATTTCAAACATGTAATGTTTTAATAGATAACATAAAATGTCGTAGCTAACATGTTCAAGCGTTCAAACCAATATCAATTGATTTGAAGAAATACAATGACAAACATGCGTTATCAGTTTGCACCATGCACCGTGCACTATATTTAATCCACATTCATTATCCTAAATGCTGTTATCAGAGAAACCAGGATGAAAAATATTAAATTTGTTTGTTTATTGCTGCTATGACATTACCAATCCCGAGGATTGGTTATTTGAGTTTAAACAAAAGGGGAACATAGATTTGCACAATCATGGTTCCAAGTATCTATCTTTGACATTTCTGATAAATTAAGTGTTTAAGGTGTAGCTATTTATAACTGGTTTCGGTTATTGTTATCTACATTTTTATCTTTCATACATTGATTTTACATAGTCATTATAGTGAGCCAATGGATCGCCTTTCTTTAGAATTAAATCAGTACTCATTAAAATGTATGAAATGTAAAAAATATAAGTATTTATTTATGGTGTAGGCTTCAGAACTTGGTGCTAACGTCTAGACAGCTCAATCATTTATAACGTCAATGTCAAGAAAAAAAAGATATATTGCATCATATATTTTGATAAGAAAACATTCATTAATGCTACTTAATATAAAATAGAGTAATTATTGAGACTGTTTCTACATGCGTAATAGCATACGTAAATAAACCCCTTTAACTGTAAATGACAAATGCACGTTTACTTTCAGATAATATCAAGTAAAAGTTTTATTGCAAAGTCATAAATGTACACAGATTAACCTCTAGCAAGCGATTTTAAGTTCAAAGACGAATGAGATGCACTTGACTAGACGAATGTGCATTTAATTAGACGGGTAATAAAACATAAGATATATCGATACAATGCTATCAAAACAACATTTCAAAGAAGTATTTAAATCAGAGTTAAAGTTAAAGATAATTGCGTAAATTTAAGCTTTCCTCCTTTTTATTTTACAAAATCTAATCTCTATAAATGTATTTTTCACATAAACATCGTTTAAATTAAACCAAAGAACGCACGCTAAATGGTCAAAATTTGCGTAGATTTACAGTTTGAATCTATTGCAATTTATTAATATATAATTATATATATAATTGGAAGGTGCCATGAATAATACAAAATCATATTTTTACAAACATATAGTGCAAATTAGTCGGACTACAAGTTATAACAACATTAACAACATCCCTCCCCACAAAGTCAATGTTTCATATATATTTTATATATATATTTTTTCATTCAATCAATTATTTAAACTGAACAAAAATAACTGAATGTTTCTAAAAAGAAATGATAAATAGAAAAAATGGAAACGCTATTTGACAGAAATACATGTAGAAAACTTAGAATAACAAACAAACTACTGGCAGTTTTGTCCCAGAAAAATACCTTTTGAGACATAAGACAAAGACAATAGTTATAACTATGGATAAAATGTGTCAATTCCTAACAGATGAATGGAGAGCACAAAATCACTATGTCATTAATTATTGAAAAGATAAATTAAGATTAAAGGGTGTGTCTAATGGCATATTCCTCGAGATCATCATAACCATATTCGTTCAACACAATTCTTTTAACAACACAATTCTTTTTGTTATAATGATGTGATCATTTGTCCTTGAACATTTTTTTAGAATAGTACTCTCTACTTCACAATTTACATAAACATTTTGTTAATTTTAAAATCAAAGCTTCTTCAAACCATAATGATATTTGAGCCGCGTCATGACAAAACCAACATAATGGGTTTGCGACCAACATGGATCCAGACCAGCCTGCGCATCCGCGCAAACCCATTATGTTGGTTTTGTCGTGACGCGGCTGATTTATTGCCGGCATCGTATACGTTTAAGGTTCGGTTCTTTTCGATCTTATTATGCTGAAATGTGAGTTCTTGACTGTAAATGCCCTGCATCAAATTTTACATTTCTTTCCATGTCATGACATTCTGGTAGAGACTAATGATCATCAGGTCGAATCTGCTGAAGGTTTGGTCTAGAAAAAAACAAATTAAGATAGCATTAACAAATTAAAGAAGATACAAACGAATAAAATATAATATTACATTTTCTACAGATTCCAGTGCAGGATAAATCAATTTAACTGCCTTCGTTTACATGTGATTCAAGCAAAATCAACTGATAAAATAAATTTGATTAGTCATATACTTGGTAAATAGTCATTGGCATAATGCTGCTTATTAAGATAAAGTTTTTATTATAAAACAACATAAGGTTTATTGTTAGATTACCTGTATACTAGCACTCTAAATAAAACTATAAAAATGACTATAACTAAAAGTAGGGCTCCAATGCTTCCACATGTAGCAATTACAAGCGTTGTTTCATCTGCGTTCTTTGTTTTCTTTTTGAAACGAGTAGACGTACTGGTAGATGGTTTTTTGTCTAAGTCTCTCGTTCTTGTGATATAAGATATCATTCGGGATGTGAAAGCTGTAGACACTGTGGTTGAAATCGAAGTTGTTGGTTTTCTGGTGATTTTGTAACTTGCTGATGTGGAAAAAGATGGGAAAGTTGTTGACTGTCTGGTAGTTTTGTAACTTGTTGATGTGAAAAAGGTTGAGGGAGTTGTTGATTTCATTGTCGTTGTATAACTTGTTGATGTAGATTCTGTTGTAGATGTTGTACTTGTTGTTGTTGTTGCAACGGTTACAAGAGGAGTATCGTTTTTATCTAGAATATATTATCACAAAAATAATGTAACAATAAAATTTTATGATTCACCACATCATGTAAACTTATGAACCTCAATTGTACACACTTTGCTTATACTTGATTCTACAAACAGATATTTTGTTCAATAAAAATTAGTTCAGTTATAAACGATACAGGTTTCTTTTTTTATTCATTTTTATTCTTTTTTTTTTTTGCATCGATCAAAGTTAAAATTATGACAATAAAGTGTCGCTTAGGTAATAAAAGACGTACTGAAGCAATATCGTATATCGCAATTAGGCAATCTTCTCAGTTCAAAAACAAAGAAACTATTACAGTTTCTAACTGCTATCGCATTTCTCTGTGAACAACAAGAACCCAGTTTTATGCAGATAAATACGTGAGTCGTCCCATCATTGTATGTTGGAAGAGTGTCTGTAATCATAAAATGGAATAAATTCATGTTGGATGGAAATATAGGTCAAAATACAGTTTAAGTTCAGACAGGTTTGAAGATATTTGCCAACCAGAAAGTATTTTTGTCGTATCTGTAATACATTTTCTCCCCTTATCTCACTTTTGTTGTTCTTTAAAGAACTATAACTATATAAAATATTTAATTCCAAAATTGATATAGTTTCTATGGTTTCAGACAATGGATTTATCGGGCAGAAATATTGTTTTGACAAAATTAGAGTGAAGAAAAGACAATGCCACTTGTTTTAGCTTTGCTACGGTATAAAAAAAATTCTTTTAAAATTAAATCATTTAATTTATTTTACATGCCCAAAAAAATCTAAAGTCATCAAAACTTTATGACCCTTTTGGCACAAAGGGAAAATAGCATATTTTTTTCCATGGGGGGATAATTGTTTTTCCCAAAATTTCAAAAAGTAATAGGCTTTTTTACATCAAATCCAAACCTGGGCCGCCCCCTCCACAGTTAAATGTGTTTTACAATCAGTATGAAATTCCCAGCTGCTTTTACTTGTAAATCTGTACCGGTGGGTACGGGGGATTTTGGGAAAAACACCACTAAATTAGAAAAATCTTTTTGGGGAGATCTGGGGCCCGTTTCTTTTTTTTGGGTTGGCAATGGACCAGTCTCTCCCTTAACCTTATCTGAAAAGAAAAATGGAAAGACTTAAACTATGGAACTGATTGATCACAAATAATATTGCTATTTTACTCATTAATATATAATAAAAAATAGATTCATTTATAAGTGTTCCGTTCGTTTTGACAATGAAACACCACTTCCATAATTTCTATTCAAATACAATTTTCGAAATACAAATAAATGACGAAATATTTATGATTCCTGTTTTATGGATGCATTAAATATAGATTTATGAAGAAAACAGTTTTAAAATATCGTACGTTGTGCTAAAAAATAGTATGTAAAAATGTCTTTTATGTTTTTGTCATTCTTACATCATATATATTTGCTTAAAGAAAGGAGAAAATGTTTCACATTAATTTCATTAATAAAAAAGCAGATTATAGAAATTGTTATCTAAATGATATATAAATATTGTGTACATACCGTAAAAGAATATGACTATAACAATCCACAAACATTCCATGTCCAGGCGTCAAATACGGTGTAACGTTTGCAATTATTATTCAGTAAATATTTTAGTAAGAAAAAAAAATACTGAAACTATTTTAAGAGCTATGAAATAAATCAGCCTTCCTTGTTCCGAAAAAGTCCGCGTCTTCCGCCTACTACAGATAAGTTTAAAAATCTGTCTATCTGTTAAGCCCATTCCATCAAAATACTGTGTTATATTGATAACGGACACATACTGGTTAAAATTTATCTCCCATTCGTATTTCTTGTTTATTATTATTATCATTATTATTATATAATGTAATATAAGTATACAGGTTATAGTGATATTATATTATGATTGCCATATTATATTATATTTTTTTTTAAAGATATTACTACCCTAATGGGCACTATAAGGAACTAAAATATTGACATCATAGGTCAGATATATACCTTTAAGTACACCTGTATGCAAAATTTAAACAAAGTTTACCGTACGGAAATCAAGTTATGGCCACTTTTCTGAACTCGAGCTAGGATGTTATGAGGGCCCTTTTTTAGAAATGAAGAACCTTTAAATAACCTGCAATTACATTCTAATGAAAAATGTTTTCCCATTACTTTTGGTAAGTAACAAATAGTGCCATTCAACTTACAATCCACATAAGCAAAATTATGGTTTCTACTTATAAAATTTATGAAATCTGTATAAAAATGTAACCCTACCCCACCCAATTTTACCACGTGTCTGACCATTTTCCTACTTAGGGAGCCTAATTTAAAAAATCCTTTAAATTTACCCAAATTAGTGCCTGTTTTCAAAGTTTCCCTAAATTTTTAAAGAAGTATATTGGTTGATCTTGTAAAATATGAAATACTTTTACCGTCTAGTTTTGATTTTATTACACTTTGAAAATATCAGGTACCATATTTATTACTAGATTTAGCATAATTTAGCCAATAAATACCTATATAAATTAAAAAATCAAAATTAAACACTTTTATCTTTCCAAATGGGACATAAGAGATACATAAATAATGTTTACAGAAAAGAAAAAGAAGAAAAAAGTTGACCCTTCTGGGGATTGAACCCACGGCCCTCATTTTCAATGTAGTTAACAGTAGTTATAGCCTATTTGAATACTCTTCAAAGCGGAGGTAATGCATTAGGATGGTAATACCTTAATATATTATGTTATATTATTCATGAATTATATATTACACAGAAATCAGTTTTTTACTAGATACATTATTTTGTGTTAATATAATTCAGATTACTGGTTTTCAGATAAATTAGAGAAAAAATAAAACCTTTTTACAATTAAGTAACACTTTGTTGTATATTAGTGCAAAAACAAAAAGAAACGTTAAGAAAGTAATATGTAAATATTTGCTATTTCGTATTCTGTAAGTTTATAACATTATTCATCGGTAAATGATAACTTAAATTTTAGGGGAAATAAAAGCTATGTCACACCATATTCTATTATTATTATATAATTATTATGATTTTATATTTTATTTGCACTAAATTTGTTTTTTCTATTGCACAATCCGTTCCATTAGGCCAACCTATCATATCTTCAAACATTACCTTATTTCATTTGAATTAACATCAGTGAAATTGAATTAACAATTGATTTAATGTGAAATTGAAATTACATAAATAACGGTTGTTATATATAGTTATTTATATTACATCATTTATTTACATGTAATGATATATGACAGTAAATATTTACACAGAACATTGTGTTTGTTTTGCGTCCGCGCCGAAGCGCGACGCCCTTATGGAATGAAATCAGATTTTGTGAAAGGGCGACAGCAAATTCTCGGGCCTTTTCGTCGGTCATAATAGCCGATCATTCCGATTTGTATGAGGGCATTTGATTATCAAAAATGAATTGTCGCGAACAATGAATAGCAACTGGAGAATTTCGCAATGCAAACATATTCAAATGAAATAATCCTTTACTTGATTTATTTCAACGCAGATATCAATTCTTGTTTTGTGACCCGTGATTTGCTGTTTATTGTTTATATATCTATCTGTACATGTATGTTCTTATGGGCATTGGCCTACTGAATTTCTGAAATAAAATAACATTTTTCTATATAAAATAAAGTTAAATCATGTTGATATTTACATTTTTATTATAACTATTAAATGACATATTTTTGTGCTTTCCTCACCGAGTTGTTAAGGCCATTGAAATACACAGATTTCCTCCATTACGCTGTCTGTTCGAATCAAAATCTTATTTTGTAAGAATGCTATCAAGCTAGCTAATGAAATAATACAATATTGCACTCCAGACAAATTTTAGATTGTCTATATGAAAAGGAGCGAAACTGAATCTCTGTAGTAAAGAGTAGCTTATATATATTGTCTATGTTTATTAAAAACAGTGACTTATAGGTCAATGGGGCCCGGCGATGTGTTTGTTTTGTATTTGTTTTATATTTGTTTGTACTATATACATTATCAAAAGTCACTAAATAATTATGTTTTTCTTCTTTTTTCTTCTGTAGCATACATGTATATGCATATTTTCTGTAAAACTATAACAGACTCAGATAGGATCTCACAGGTTTTTTTTAGACTCTTATCATCCTTGCAAAAAAGATATCGTCCTGTGAGTCGTGCTTAAAGTGAATGAAAAACCAATTATAAATGTTTTGCGAATTTCAAGTATTACTCTCACTTATTTTCCAGGGGGGGCTTTACCGGGATTTTGATTTTTGAAGTGGGATTTTTTTCATGTTTAATATTGTCCCTAAAAAAGGGCTTTTAAATTTAAAAATTTAAAAAAAATCTACCCAAAAAAAAACGGTTTTTTTCCCCGGAAAAAAAATTACATATCATCGAAATTTTAATTACATCCTAGGTTTCGTGAGAAACAGTTTGTGCAAAAACCCTTTCCCTTTTAAATTTCCCATAGTAAATAAATTTTATTCTTGATTTATTTACTTATTTTTCTTTTTTTAAAATTTAAAATTTTAAAATTTTGAAAAGTTTTAGGGCGACAAAATTTTAAAATTGTTGCCCCGTTTTGTTTTTCAATAACCAAAAAGGGCCCCCGTTTTCCCACTTTGGGGTTTAAACCCTCTAGAGGAGAATATTTTGATTTGTTTTAGCCCTGGGGTCATAGATGGTCTAAAAGGAGGTCACACGGAATACCTTGTGACAATCTTCGGCCAATGTACATTCCTGTTTTGTCGCATGTTTTCAGGAGTTGTCTTTGATGCTTTTCAGTTGTTAGATACTAACACTAATACTAACATGTTTTATTGTTTATAACACATAGTGCGATATTTATGGTATCGCACGATTATTTTTTAATAAATGTACATTATGCAAAAAAAAGCAAAGTTGACTCATGTTTAACTGTTCCCGTAAATATAACACTGACACAAATCAATAAGCAATATCATTACACAGTATAGATATTGAAAACTATTTTAAAGATACGAAGATGTGGGCATTGATATTGGGGTTCTGCATTTTTATCGAGATAATATTCCATAAGAAAAGCTTGTTAACATTTTAGAGACAGTTTTGTCGAGAATATAGTCCATAGGAAAAGCTTGTTAACGCTTTAGAGTGAAGCATATTTTTCGTAATAATATATTTGACAACTTAGAGCACGTGTCACGTTTGCGAAAGAAATAAGTCACATTGTGATACTAAAGGACAACCTTGTTAATCCTCTTGATACTACACGTATGTTTAAGATTTGTTGTTGTTTTTAAAGCTTGTCATATTTCGTATCAAATCTGAAGAGAACATAGATAACACTCCTCCAAAGTTGTTTATAGATAAAATTTGATGTTAAAGATTGCCAAAGGTTTAGTTTCAATGAAACAAT